CCATACCCTGTTCTCCATCTTCTTTGGCACCTCTCTAGTCCAGGACATTTTCATCTCCCACTTGGATTACTTTGGTACACTCCTAATTTCTCTCTCCATTTCTATTCTTGTCTCTTTCAAGTCATCCTCCACACATGAGCAGAAGTTCTTATGAAACATATTACTCCTCTACTTAAAACTGTAGAATGATTTACCACTGCACTCAAAATCAAATGCAAACTCATTCCCAATACCTGCAAAGTTGGACATGACCTAGCCTCTGCATATCTTTCTTATCTCATGTCACTGTATTCCAAGTCTGTTTGTGCTCCAGCCCCAAAGAGGCACACAGCCACATTGTTAACTCTCTCTCAAAACCTTATTTGTTTCCTTCATAACATTTCTTATTTCCTATTGTTTTCTCCAGAACCTGGTATAAGCCCTAGGATACAAGATGTTCCTTCATTGCAAGGGTGAATGAACAGATAAGGCAATAGATGTCACTGGAAAAAATGATCTTTCCATGCAAAGAAAGTGCTAGAAGATATCATTAAATATCAAAGAATTGGTTTCAATTGCCAAATTCTGTTACAGCTTACAAAGAGAATGTCAACTGTCAATGATAATTAAAAAAAAAAAGTTAAGAGAATGGCTACAAGAATGCCTCCTTTGGTTAAGAATCTCACATATGTTGTAAAATATTCATGAAATGAAATGTATACTCTATTTACTGAAAGTTCATTAATAATGAGCAAAGGATAAGTAAGCAGCATCATAAAGATATGCTATCAAAATAGGGTTGGGAAAGAGTTCTTAGCAACAGCTCAGTGGGTCACATGAAGACAATGATCATAATTATGTTTAACTATGTATTAGATACTTTACTTAAATTGATTCATTTAACCCTAACAATAAAGGTACTGAGATAGAAAGAGGTTAAGTAACCAGCTCAGGAGTCACACAGTAATAGAGCTGGAATTTGAACCAAGGTTTTATCTTCCTAGTTCTTAACAGCACCTGTGGAATCCTTCCAAATCATCTATGAAGATCAAAGTTTTAGGGAAAGAATCCCAAGAATAAAAGAAGACATTTTAATTATCTACTGGAAAAAAAAAAAGAAACATAAGCATTAAGTGGACTAGCTGGGATAGGATTACTCAATGGATTGCCCTTGCTTAATTTAAATATGCCTAAAACTTTAAATATGATCTCTTATATGACACAGAAAATATTCCTTGTTCAAATTTTTAAGAAACATAATGTTTTATTTACTTTTTTGGTACCAGGAATTAAACCCAGGGTTGCTTAACTACCGAGCCACATTCCCCCAGCCCTTTTTATGTTTTATTTTGAGACGGGTCTTGCTAAATTGCTGAGGTTGAGGCTGGCCTTGAATTTTCAGTCCTCCTGCCTCAGCCTCCCAAATTGCTGGGATTACAGGCATGCACTACAGTACCCAGCTAAGAACAAAATGTTTTAAAATGAGCTTTATATAAGGGTTTACATAACTTCAGTTCAGCAAACTTAATCTAAAGTTACTTACCCAGACTAAAAAAAGGAGTTTCTTGATGCAATATGCTCTTTAAAAGTATATTCTTAGGGCTCAGTGGTAGAGCCCATGCTTAGCAGCACAAGGCTCTGGGTTCAATCCCCAGCACCCCTCCAAAAGTTTACTCTCAAAAATATTTGTATATCTTTGTGAAAGTAGATTATCACCTAACACAAACACAACAATCCATTCTTTTTTTTTTTTGGAGGTGCTAGGGACTGAACCCAGGGCCTTGTGTATGTGAGGAAAGTACTCTACCAACTGAGCTATATCCCCAGCCCCTAACACAAACACAACAAAGTTATGACTTCAATTCATCCTATTTGTCATGATTTGTTAATCTAGAGTTCATTTCTACACTAAAGTGGTAGAGAAACACAGGGACACGAGGGTAGGAAAGGAGAAAGACTATAAACCACACAGAGTTCCCAGCAAGACAAAGAATGTACTCTTTTACAGTGGCTATTTACCTACAACAAAATAGCTACAGAAATGACTACAGATAACAGATAATAAACATAATGGGGAAATTTTTTTATCTGGAACAAATTAACACAGCTTTCCGTGACTCATTAATAACATTCACTCAATAAAGACTTGTATTTCCACTTGCCAGAAAGAAATTTCAATACCTGATAGTAAAGAAGTGTAATATCAGAATAATCATTCTGAAGTATTCTATGAGAGTAAGTAAGCTGTACTTTTTTCTTTCCTTAATCTGTTCCACTGCAAATCTTGCCAAATAGCTTTGTTTTCCTACAACTTATAAGACTCTACCAGTTAAAAAGGAATATAAGTTTTTTAATGTGTATGTGTGTACCCTTTAATGCACAAAAGAAAACATTTTCTTGCAAACCAGGAAATTTTACCAAGTGATACCAAGATGCTTGGAGACAACCTTAGCAGAATACAAAGAACACTTAGGATCTTAAATCCAGTTCAGGTTCTGGTACTACCTATGCCAACTGACCTCAGGCAAGCCAACTGCTATTTGATTCTAGGCCCTAATTTTCTCCTCTAATAAATGTGAAGAATCTAATTATATGTTCACATTGGTTTTAGTAAAATAATAAGGTTTCTTAATGTAAGTAACATGGAACTACTTCTAATCTTTAGTTAATAACATATAAGCAACTAAAAACTTCAGGTTTTTCTGTATTTGGAAATCTCACATGACAATACAGGATGACCAAGAAAGATCAGATTTAAACTTCCAAATGCAAAACTATACTCACCTTCCAGCCACCTACTTATTAACCAACATGACTTAATCAATGGGTCAGAGTATAAAACCGTTCTTGGCTAGCTTTATTGTTCAAAAGTAGGGCAAAGATTGTCTCAGAAGTGTGTGATAATATTTTCAGATAAACAAAAGGACACAGTACAAATAATCAACTTTAAAAGTTACTCAAAGGAATAGTATTCTACACTGATATACTTCCAGCTGAGTAAAATGACAGTATTATCATATTTTCACTTATATCATGATTTCACATTTACTATCTCACTAAATTCTGTGACAGACCTATGAGAATAAGTAAGCTGTACTTTTATCAACACAATACAGGCCAGCTAAGAATGACAGGTATCCTGCCAACCATTTCCCAATAAGTGTTGGAGCCCAGACTTCAATTCAGGTCTTCTTGTTTAAAGTTTATTGATCTTCAAGATTCTAAAAAGCAGTGATTCAAGTCAAACACAGGAAGAAGTTGGTAATGTGAGAAAAGTCAAATAATCAATTGAACTGAACAGAAAGAATATAAGAACAGATTTTACCTTTATGTAGTCAACAAGCAAATTTATTGGACATTGAACTAATGTTACATCGAACTTTTATAATTCTACCTGTCAAAAAACTTGACACCTCATTTCAAAGAAAACTGTGAAAAAAAATTGCTAACTCAAAAATAAGAGCAGCATGTGAATTAAACAATAAACTGAGTAAACTAGGTATAGATAACCTGTTAAAATGCATCAAAGCATTTATTTAAGTACTTCAAAAACCTGGTTATATGTGTATTTTTCTTCTGGAAAATGAGCCACAGGAATCTAACAGAATTAATTGTGTGTATTCAAGCAGTATATATCCCTCAAAAAAAAAAAAAAAAAAAGAAAGAAAGAAAGAAAAGAAAACCATTAGTGATTTACAATAATATAATATAAAGAAAACATGAAAGATTTCTACTTTAGTCATTTCACACTTACACGAATTGGTCACATTTGTCTGGGTTTCACCATCTCTTTTCCAATACAAACATAATCTAGAATGCATAAAATGCCACCTAATAAATAGTAGCTTCTTCCCATCATCTATGCTGAGAATACAGAACTACACTGTAATATCAATACATTTAATAGGTAGTAGCAGTTGGAATATTAAATTATCTATCATTACAACACTAGAAATACTTAAAAACAAGCATTTCCAAATGATCAATGCCATCTGTCTACAAAATCTGACAAGCACCAAAGGAGAACTGAAAGACAGGGAAAGAATAGATGCTGCCAAGATATATAAAGAGTGTCCAGTCTGCACATTATTAGATTTTTTACATGAAGTTGCAGAAAAACAAAAGATGACTGTGTAAAATCTATTGAAGGTCTTAAGTAATAAAGCAGTGTGACAAGAGGACCACATAACGCTTCTCAAAGATTTAAAGATAAATCTTTAAATCTTCGACCTTCATGTTTTACTGCAAGTATTTCCAATGTAATGAAATACAAGCATTGGGGGTCTGGGATTTGGAAAAGGCAGAAAACTATTTTTCATGAAAGTAAAAGGAGATTTCAGAAGGTCCTTAGCAAAGGCTCTACGAAGTGAAGGCCCATTCCCTTGGCCACTTTGTACCACGAAGGCTTTAGATGGCACTTGCATGCCTGGATTTTGTTTAAGAGCGGAAAGATTTAACATCATGCACCACTGGTTGAGGAGGAGGGCAAGAACCAAGCCGAAAGATCCTGAGAAGCAACTCTGTCGGCAGCAGGGAAAACCTCTTCATTTACTCCAGGGTGCTGGACACCCCAGGAGGAGGGCTCTTCATACAAGCCGAGTACGGCTTCCAGGTGGAGAGGAAAGCGAACGGTCGGGAGTTCAGTGCCTAGTTTCAATGTCCCGTATCCAACCATGGAGAGGTGTCCCAAATAACCCGGCTACCGCCAGACTGAGACAACCAGAGCCAGCAAAGCCCTAAAACACTCATGGAAGTAAAAACCGCCGGGCCCCAGATCTGCACTAAGTGGGAGAGCTTCCGGAAGAAGCCAAGCTCTGATGATGGTCTCAAGCTTCCTTGCCCAATTCCCCGCTTTCGTTTACCTACCCACTCCGACTCCTGCTTCTCCACAGATCTCGGGATCCTGGAAGCGGCTCCCGACAGACTCTCACACCCGCCGCGGGGCTCCGGCCAACCGGAACTCGCTCGCGTCACTTCCGGTCCGGTTACCCAGCGGAGACCGCCTCCTAAAGAGAAACGTTCCCCACTCCTTTAGGCAACCTCAGCTGATCCTCGCGGTATTTCAGTCCGGACTCCTGCGGGTGTGACGAGAAAAGGATGATTGAGCCTTCTCGGTTCTTGATCCGGAACTAGTTATCCTGAAACCCCGGAAGAGGTAGTTCGCGCGCGCAGAGTGTGTTAGCTCCGCAGAATTGAACAACAAGAAGGCGCGTGTGTGAAGGAGAGTATTTTAGGTAGGTCGGTTCCTCCTAGGGCAAAGCAAAGGGATGTCGTTCTCCATTCTCTTTTCAGCTGGAACGTTTCATCCCAAGTTACTCCATGACTACCCGCCTACATCTTCGCCTGGTGATCGTTGGATCCCCGAGCCTGTTCAGCAAGTCATCCTTTGGAAGAAAAGGAATCAAGATGCCGGGAAGGGTTAGGAATCGGAATTGCTAGTTTTCCAACAGAGCCACGCGTTTCCGGCAGTATCGATGCACTCTCTCCGAATGGGAGAAAATAGCGAGCAAGCCTCACGCTCTCTGCTGTGTATTCACGCGTTTCAAGCTGTGGGAAGAAAAGATTTCTAAGGGTATAATAGAAAGTTTTATTCTCCTGTATCATATAATGTCTGGAGAGGTATTTGATCGTGCTGTATAAGTGCCCCAGAAGCTTCGAAGGGGAAATAATTAAGTCTGGTTGGGGGATGGTGCTGACTTCACAGTGTGATTTCAGCTGGGCCTTTCCAGGTGAATAGGATATTTTTATTTGCGTTTTTATTTTAAATGGGGAAGACCAGAAAATAATTTCGGGAGAGATTACCCCTTGAAAGGACCTAAATATTTGATGTGGCTGGATGGTACAACATATAGCAGCAGTTGTAAAAGGAAAAAGTCGGCTGTTACCAGAATTGTGTAGTACTTAGAGTTGGTGCTAAGGAATTTGTTTTATTCTCTATGCGGTTAGCTGATGATTTTTGAGAATGTTTTAGAAGTGTATTTATAATGGTATATGGGCTAGGATGAACTAGAGTAAGAGCCAAGAAAAGCTAAGTTTGGAAGCCTTTGACAAGAGATAATTAGGAACTGTAAGTAGAAATCCTGGAATGGGTTTAAAACATAAGTTTAACAGGATTCGGTGACTGGATGTTGGAGGACCATAGGAGGAGGAAAAGTGCAGGATACTCAAATCAAGACTACAGGAAAAGAAAGTTTGTATGTACAAGGTCTTGGGTTTGCTGCTCAGCACTACCAAAAAAATAAAGAAAAGAATATTTCATAGTCTTCTAAGTGATGAAATCCAGCAGAAATTAAAGAGGTTCAAATTCGAAGCCAAGGAGACACTTTAGGAGTCTGTGCATAGGATGATTTGGGAATAATTGAGATTGTTCATCTGACAAGCTTTATTGCCTGTCCTCTCCCACCAGAATGTTAGCTCCATAAGGAGTGGGACCTCCCCCCCCCCCGCCCCCCAGTGATCTCCGGGCTTCAGAACAGTGCCTGAAGCACAGTAAATCCTCAGTGAATTTTGATGGATTTTGAATGGAAAGAGAACATATAGACCAGTGCTATTCAAATAGAACTTTTTTTCAGTGACAGAAAGTTCTGTTAACTCACTGTATGTCAGAGTAGTCATAGTCACTAGCCATCTTCAATTGTTATTAAGCACTTCAAATATGGCTAGTACAACTAAAGAACTGATTTTTAATTTAGTTTTAATTAATCAAAGTTTCCTTAATTGCATTTGGCTATTGGCTTCTATAGTGGACGTTGGAGACATAGACTGAAAAGGCCAAATGTGTACACTTATGTAATACAGTACATATATCAGGAGCAAACAGAGGATGTAGAGTTCAGAAGGGGACCAAAAAAGCTGTCAGGAAGCTGGGTGTGGTGGCTCATGCCTGTAATCCCAATGACTTGGGGGGCTGAGGCAGGAGGATTTCAAGTTTGAAGCCAGCCTGGGCAATTTAGCTATAGCTCAGTAGTAGAACACCCTTGGGTTCAATCCTCTATACCATTTAAAAAAAAAGCTGTCTGAGAGGTAGGATGATAATAGAGTGAAAGAATTCAATGGAGGAAAGTTTTAAGTCTCAGAAGTGACCAATAAGTGGCAGAGAACTTAAGATGAGCCCTGAAAAGAAGCAACTACATTTGACAATTAGGAAGTATCTGGTTTCCTACTAATTTTCAATAGTGGGCAAGAGAGATTCCCAGGTACAAGGATTTGGAGAAATAGATACCTGAAACTGAAGTTTGGAGATAAAGAGGCAGTGTTTAAAGGTCAAAGAAGATTCAGGAAGGTTTTTTTGTGTTGTTTTGTTTTTTTCTTTTTCGTTTTTAGGTTAGCAAATGCTATTCTGTGGGGTAAGATAAATGGGTGGAACAAGGTTCACTTGGTCATGGGAGCAAGAGCACTAGTGGAACATGTTTAGTCAGGCAAGGTAATTAGAAGGCACCAAGAGGAGGTTTTATAGGGCATACTTGGTTTACTGTGCTGTCATTGCTAATGATTATCTGTGAGACTTAAGAATAGTTTCAGGCAGACTGGAGTTGTAGCTCAATGGCAGAGTACTTGCTTAGTATGTATGAGGCACTGGGTTCGATCCTCAGCACCTAATTAAGTAAAAGTTTCACTGACAACTAAAAAATATATTTTAAAAAAAGCGGGGCATGGTGGTACACGCATGTAATCCCAGCAGTTTGGGAGGCTGAGACAAGAGGATCATAAGTCAAAGCCAGCCTCAGCAGAAGCAAGGCACTAAGCAACTCAATGAAACCCTGTCTCTAATAAAATACAAAATAGGGTTGGGGATGTGGCTTAGTGGCTGAGTGCCCCTGAGTTGAATCCCTGGTACCCCCCGCCCCCCCAAAAAAAACCACAAAAAAAATAGTCTCAGGTACTGAGCTTTATTAATGTGTTCATAGTAAGTGTCTGGAAAAAGAGACATTTTAGAGGAGGTAGTTGGGTTAGAGATTAAAACATCTTAATTTTATAATTAGATCCCATTGAGATGTGGGACATAAGCAGTAAACTTGGAAGTTTCTAGGATATTTGCCATTCTGTTTTCACTGTCTCATACTGGTGTGTGTGTTTAGATGAAGTTGAGAAGATGAAAAGTTTTTTTTGTTTTTTTTAAATTCTGATTAGTTATACATGACAGAAGAATGTGTTTTAACACATTGTACACAAATGGAGCCCAACTTAGAAGCTTTTTATTATGATCAGGCAATGTTGTATAGTTTTGCCCCTGTTGTAGATGCTGTGGATAAGCAACTTCTCTGATCCTCGTTTTTCTCATCTGTAAAATGAAGCTTATATCTTCCTTTTATTTTTATGGCAGCAAAAATGAGATAATGGGCTGGGTGCAGTGGCACACGCCTATCATCTCAACCACTGTAGATACTAAGGCAGAAGAATCATGAGTTTGAGGCCAGCTTCAGTATTTTACCTAAATCTTATTTCAAAATAAGGAAAAAGGACTGAGGATGTAGCTCAGAGGTAGAGAGTCCCTGGGTTTGATCCCCAGTACCAAAAAAAAAAACAACAAACAAACAAAAAGGAAAAGCAGAAATAATGGGAAGAGGTTCTGTGAAGTTTAATGTGTTTATTTGGAAATGAATATTGCAATTGGAATGTGCATGCTACAGGAAACCATGTGGTGTATTCAAGGAGGTTGAAGCAAGGAAAAATTTTTAGAGGCTAAATGAAGAGAGTATATATATTTTTGGGGGTTTTTTTGGTACTGGGAATTGAACCCAGGGCCTTGTGCTCTACCAACTGAGCTATATCCCCAACCCACATATTATTGTTTTGAAACAGAAATTCTTGGCTACAAGGGTAGTATCAGTCCAAGGTTGAACAGGCAGTTACTGAGCAGATGTCCTTGCTGAAGTATTTTTTTATGCAGGTTTGCTGTTTCAGCACTCTGTGTTTTGGTTCTTATCAGGCATATGTACGTGAGATCTCCCCTTTCATTATGTTCCTGTTATACTTGCTTATTTTCTGAAGTTTTGACCAAAGCATTTTGATTCTGACAATTTTCACAGATGTAGAGGTTTTACTTTGTTATCCATCTTCTGTGTAGAGCAGTTTGCTTTTCCAAATAGGAACTGATTCTGGTATATGGGATATTTGGTTACTTTGTCAAATAAAGTGCTATTGACCACACCTTTCTTCTGCAAATAGGTTCCTCACTGCATTCTCCTTTTTTTCCTGCTTTCTTGCCTATAGAACTTGGGTATTATGTTTAAAATATGGAAAACTTCACAGATTTGCATGTCATCCTTGCACAGAGACCATACTAATTTTCTTTGTACTGTTCCATTTTTAGTATGTGTGCTGCCAAAGTGACCACAGAAGTTAGTCACTTTAAACACCGGGTAAGTAGTGTATGCCTATAATTCCAGCTAATTGGACAACTGAAGCAAGAGGATCACAAGTTTGAGGCTAGCCTGGACCAACTTAGTGAGACCCTGTCTTAAAATAAAAAATTAAAAAAGGGTTGGGGATGAAGCTTAGTAGTAGAGTGTTTGCCTAGCATTTATGAGGCCCTGGGTTCCATCCCCAGTACCAACCCCCCTTGCACTTCCTCCCACCCACCCACCCCCAAAAAAAAGAAGGTAAATCTAGAAAAGGATATAGAAGATTTTTGGTAGATGTTTCAGAAGCTATCTGAAGAAGATTCTAATGGACTCAGATAGTTGTACGTTTTATAACATTAAGTAGCAATTTCAGGGAAGTTTTATTCCTACAGGAGCGGGGTTTGAATTTGAGATTGTACATGCATGGTTATCAGGTTGTTTTAATTTTTATATTAAGTGTACCTTGGCCTTACCTCCAGCCTTTAAAAGCAAGGATATAGATACAGCAATATAAATGTTATGCTAAATGAAAGAAGCCAAAATAAAATGCCATACATTGCATGATTTTATTTGTTTTTTTATTTATTTGGTACTGGGGATTGAACCCAGGGGCATTCTACCATGGAGTTACATCTCCAGCCCTTTTATTTTGTATTTTGAGACAAGGTCTCACTAAGTGGCTAAGGCTGACCTCAAACTTGTGATCCTCTTGCTTCTGATTTCTGAATAGTAGAGATTATAGGTATGTGCCACCACACCTGGCATAGTATAATTTCATTTATATAAAATGTCCAGAATAAGTGAATCCAGAAAGGAGATTGTCAAAGACACAAAGGTTGTCAAGGGCAGAGGGAAATAGGAAGTGACTGCTAATGGGTAAGGGGTTACTTTGGGGGCCACTGAAAATAGTGATGGTAACACAACCTTGTGGATTTATTAAAAACCACTAAATGGTATGATTTCAAAGGGTGAATTTTTTAAATATTTATTTTTAATTTCAGGTAGACACAATATCTTTATTATTTTTTTTTAATGTGGTGCTGAGGATTGAACCCAGTGCCTCATGCATGCTAGGCGAGCACTCTACCACTGAGCCACAACCCCAGCCCATAAAAGAGTGAATTTTATGGCATGTGAATTATATCTTTAAAATAATTTGACATTTGCTGTACTATTCTGAAATGAAAATCTTTGGTATACTGTATAATCTGCCGGGATTACAGGTATGCACAGTCACTGCTCCCGGCCTGATGGTACAACTCTTTTAATCTTTGCAAGATTAAAAAAAATTTTTTTTTAGTTGTAGATGGACACTGTACCTTCATTTTATTTTTATGTGGTGCTGTTTGAACTCAGTGCCTCATGCGTGCTAGGCAAGTGCTCTACCGCTGAGCTCTACCAAATACTAATGTAATATCCTTACTTTAACCAAATGAAGAATAAAAGGAAATTTTGTGATATGATAAAATAAGTATTTCAAGGGCTATCCTTGCCATGTAGATTATGCACTACATAATTCCAAGGACACTATTTTCAGGCACTTTGAATGTGGTAACTTGTATATAAATGCTAGGAAAAGAAACTGATGGTTGCTCATATTTATGCACAGTTGCATTATGAACCCAACAGCTTCAAATGTAGTCTGATGTAGGTTATTTTCTTGGTGATTCAAATATGATGTACAGCTTTGCTGGGGTATCTACCTCTACTAATGTCCAATAGTACAATTCTCTTTTTAATAATGGATTGAACTAAGGGGTGATTAACCACTGAGCCACATCCTCAGCTCTTTATTTTGAGACAGGGTCTTGCCAAGTTGCTGAGGCTGGCTTTAAACTCATGATCCTCCTGCCTCAGCTTCCTGAGCTGCTGAAATTACAGGTGTGCCTTTGCTCCCAGCTTGATAGTACAACTCTTAACCTTTGCAAGATTTAAAAAAAAATTTTTTTTTAGTTGTAGATGAACACAGTACCTTTGTTTTATTTTTATGTGGTGCTGATTGAACTCAGTGCCTCATACGTGCTAGGCAAGTGCTCCACCGCTGAGCTACAACCCTAGCCCCTATGCAGAATTTTTAGTATCTTTGCACACACCCAGTAAATATCAGTAGTGCATTTCACCTTAGGCACAGTATTGTGACAATGGGGCACCGAGGGATTGGTATTACAAAGACACAAATAAGCGCTGCTTCCTAGAAAAGGGGTTAGTTCTGTATGGTTTCTTTTGGGTATATTGGTAAAACATTTCTTTTCTCCATCAGATTTAGGGAAACTGAATTAACAAGAGTTTTTGAACCAGAAAATAGTGTTCATATCAGACCTTAACTTTTTCACTTATATGCTTGAATCTTTTCTAATACACAGGGGATGAGTGGAAACAGGGTATATGCACAAGATTCAAGATATATTTTGGCTTTCTACTTAATGACCTCATAATTTTAAAATATTGTTTGCTGCTCATAGTCAAGGTGTTTATCTAATAAGCATGTAACTTTCCTCTTTTAGATAGTGATAACTTCTTTTCTTTCTCTTAAGATGTTCTCTAAATCTTTGGTTATGGAATACTTGGCTCATCCTGGTATACTAAGCCTGGCTGCTGGAGTTGCTTGTGGCATCTGCCTTGGCTGGGGCCTCCGAGTACGCTTTGGGATGCTCTCTGAAAACTCAACGAGTCAGACACATACAGATACTGGAACTGAAGCAAGCATCTTGGGAGAGACTGGGGAATACAAAATGATTCTTGTGGTTCGAAATGATTTAAAGATGGGAAAAGGAAAAGTTGCTGCCCAATGCTCTCACGCTGCTGTTTCTGCCTACAAGCAAATTCAGAGGAGAAACCCTGAGATGCTCAAAGAGTGGGAATACTGTGGCCAGCCCAAAGTGGTGGTCAAAGCCCCTGATGAAAAAACCCTGATTGAATTATTGACCCATGCAAAAATGCTAGGACTGACTGTAAGTTTAATCCAAGATGCTGGACGTACTCAGATTGAACCAGGTTCCCGAACTGTCCTGGGGATTGGGCCAGGACCAGCAGACTTAATTGACAAAGTTACTGGTCACCTTAAACTTTACTAGATGGGCTTTTGCATGATGATGATCCTATCAAGAGTTTTAGAAGCCTGTCAAATTCTAAAATTAAAAGCTCAATTTCTTTCCCCAATTTAAATATTGAGATGAAAATAAATAAAATTTGTTCTTGTGTTTTTCTGCTAAGTAGTGGCCAGTTAGAGTTGTTTGGGGCTTAAAAAATACTGTTGGTTGAAATGGTCTTGATAATTCAAGTAGTGCTAAAAAAATTGGAGAGAAATGGGTCACAATGAAGTTAGATTAAGAGAGGGTAACACATGGTGATTTGGGAGGCTGAGGCAGGAGGATCACTAGTTCAAGGCCAGCCTTGACAACTTAGACATTATCTAAGATAATAGATGAGGGAGCTGGGGATAAGCTCAGTTGGTAGAGTGTTTGCCTTGCATGCACAAGGTCCTAGGTTAGATCCCCATTCCCCCCACCCCCCCACAAAATAGATGGATAAGATTTACCCCGTGTGGGAGAGGGAGGGTAGTGGGTGTGAGGGAAGGGTAATAGCATTACCCTATGAATAGTTAGATTTCTTTGTGTCTTGATAGCTCTTCTCTGAAACTATGCTGGGTAGTTCAGTTCCACTGAATTCAAATCGCATTCCCCTGCTATTACTTTTTGGATGACTGACAGCCTGTTTTAGTTCTATATTATGATATAGCCACCCATAACAGTCTCACAGAAAAAAATCTAAATTATTAGAATTTAAGAGAAGCTTTGTGGTACTTGGGATTGAATCCAGGATCTCATGAATGCTAGGCAAGTGCTCTACCACTGAGCTACATTCTCTCAGCCCATCTGGACTTTTGTGTTTCAATTGAAGCCGAAATTTTATAGCACTGATATAACCCACCTGTGCTGTGTTACATGCTCCAACCCCACCCCCCCCCACCCCCAATGCACACTATATTAGCCAAAGTTTCTCAGCAGTAGTTCTAAGTCGTAAAATTACTCTCCCATCCCTTTCTCCAAACAGTGAAGCCATTGTAACTTGTGAAGTGACCTCATGGAGCAAAGTAAATGTAGTTTGTTACCCCAGTGTTTCTTCTAGAACTTAAGGATCTAGACAACTAGTTATTAAAGGCACATTTCTCCCACTCCCATTTTCAACCTTATATCTAAACCATAATTCTAGTAATTACCATCATACTGGCTGCCCAAAATACAAAGTTCTCAACTCTCCAAAGCCACTCCTTCCCCCATTTTTCCCCAAAGCCCAGGAGGATTCTACCATTCATTTCTAAATTCAGTATATCCATAAAAATTATAATGCCAGGGAGAATTCTGGTAACAAGCCCATGTTAAGTTGTTCCCTCTCCACTGTTAACTAACATTAACAGCATGACTGCACACCTTTAAGATCATTGGTAGAATGTGGGCAGAACTCTTCTTTTTGAGATGCAGTCTTACTACACTGCCTGGGCTGTCCTCAAATTCCTAGGTTCAGATGGTCCTTCTGCCTCAGCTTCCCTACTGCCTCAGCTTCCCTAGTAGTAGAAATGTGCACTACAGCTCCTAGCCTCTGGGCAGAACTCCACTATTACATCCAGTTTTCAAAGTTCTAATACTTGGTGTGTTTTAAGTTTACAGCACCATATGACAGCACAGGAGAAACTGCAAATGAATTATGCCACAATAGCAACTGTTTCTAAACAGAATGTTTATACCAGAGTCAAAAGTGATGCAACAACATGTAATGGAGTTGAACTCAATCCTTAAATGCAGGATTCTGGCTCTGGCTATTTCTGAGGCTTGCCTCAGACTCTGCTTCAAACTGAAAGCAGTGCATTCCCAACAGGATGCCCTGTGGAGGTTGACTCTTAATAAATAAATCACGGCACATTCCTAGGATGAACAGTAAGGAAATTCTAGCAATATCGGGTATCATGCTATTTATCTAGTTCACCTGTACCAGATATTTTATAGGACTTATAATCTTTGAGTTCTCAAAGTCTATTTTGCTGAAACTATTTTCATAATACAAAAAACATTTTTCTTTTTCCCTGACCTGAAAATGACAAAAGCAATAAGATTTAGAGGGAACTACTGGGGACTAAATCCAGAGGGGCTTTACCACTGTGCCACATTTTTATTTTGAGACACGTCCAAAGTTGCTTAGGGTCTCGTTGCTGAGGCTGGCCTCAACTTGCCTAAATTGCCATCTTGGTCTAGGCATTGTATGATATAAACATAACCTGCCAAATAATTTTGAAAAGTACTTAGTGTTAATATACAGACAAGGAAACATTTAAACCTGGGTGTTGGTCAGACCTTTCTTTTTTTTTTTTTAGAAAGAGTGTGTGTGTGTGAGAGAGAATTTTTTAATATTTATTTTTTAGTTCTCGGCGGACACAACATCTGCTGAGGATCGAACCCGGGCCGCACGCATGCCAGGCGAGCGCGCTACTGCCTGAGCCACATCCCCAGCCCCAGACCTTTCTTTATACACTAAATCATCCCATTTCAAGGAAAACAAGTATATTTTGGAAAACTTGTATCTGCCTCTCCTTCAAGCTTCCCCAAACTTTCTAGGGTGGAGGAGTGGTTCAGTGGTAGAGCCCTTGCCTAGCAGTGCAAAGCCCTGGGTTCAATCTCTAGTACTGCTAGAAAATGCCCCATGCCACGTATAGTGTTGTGTACCTGTAAACCCAATCACTCACAGGGCTGAGGCATAAGGATCTCAAGTTTGAGGCCAGCCTTGGCAATTTAGACCCCGTCTCAAAAAATCTACAGATGCTGGGGCTGTAGCTCAGTAGCAGACCACCCCTAGGTTCAGTCCCTAGTATAAACAGTAACAACCCCTTCCTCAAAACAAAACTTTCCTGGTGAGATCAGGGTTTCTCACAATATATTAACATTAGGAAAAAAACAAAAACACCTCAGTATTTTCCAAATAACCAATGCATAACTTTTTTATATTAACATGCAATGAGTTTATTACATTTATATTGAAATAGACTAATATTTTAAAAATTCTATTTTATTTCTAATAATAGTAAATATCTATAGATCTGACAAAGTTATTTTTTTTCCTGGATCTTCAACAATTTGTATAATTATACTAAGGATCTAGAATATCTGCATGACTAAATTATAAAAAAGCCAGGCAGCACTATTTGAAGATCAATCAGTCTTGCTATTGTATTAATAACCACATTGAAACAGTTATCAACAATTACATAGACTTGTTTGAAGAGTGGCTATATCTGGATACCAAACAAGATCACCGAAAACTTGTTGGCCACTTGAGGTTTCCAATTAGTTTCGCCTTGTTCAAGTTCATTTAGAGGAGGTACTTTTAGTACCCTTGTATTGTTTCCACTTCTTTTTTCTAAACCATCTTTGATATACTAAGATTAGGAAAGATCCTTGGCTTAAAATACAGTTCATTAGCAATTCACCTACCACTTATTATACACTTAAAATTGTCATCTTGGGCTAGGCATTTTATGATATAGACATAGTATGCCAAATAATTTTTAAAAGTACTTAGTGATAATATACAGACAAGGAAACAAATGCAGAATCTCAGCTGAGGATTTGAGCCTAAATCATACATTATAGTAGTTTCTGTTTCTAATGTAGCCTATTATGGATGGTTTAAGTATCAGGATAGAGCACACAAAGCAAGGCTTTTTGTTGTTGTTGAAAAAAAAAATTCCTAAGTATTTTCAATTCTTCTGTTAGGGAAGGCAAAAGCAGAGTCAGAGTCATTCCACTGATAAAAGCCAATTAACACAAGTTTAGGAAAGGTCTAGAAGAACAAATCTTGACTAAAAAGAACAAGCTCCTAAGGAACATTATTCCTGTCTTGATAATGAGGAAGAAAAGATTTGGGAACATGGTATAGCTAGGACTGAATAGCAAGATGTTTTCACTAGCCAACACTAGAATTTACTATAGGAAGTTAAGGGTGGAAGTGGTGAGCTGAGAAGGGAGGGTGCGGGATTTTACATTTTAAAAAATCCTACTGTCTGGGGATGTAGCTCAGTGACAGAGCACTAGCCTGGTATGAATGAAGCCCTGTATTTCAATCACCAGCACAGTTGCATATATAAATACATACTATACATATCCTTCTGTGTAATTTATGATAATTTGTCTAACAGAGTTAAAAAGCAATACAAGGCTAGGCAGAGGGCAGTATTGAAGTTTAAGGGACAACGAAATAAACTTAAAGGAATATCCTCAGCCATAAACAAAAAGCTTGGATTTACACACCAGTTAAAAAAACAAAAATTCAAGCAACCATAATTTGGGAATCCTTAAAGAGTTCATGATGAGAAACAGCATGTTAACTACTTTGTAAAATATAGTTTTATTTCAAGTTAATGTAACTTAACACCTGTGGTTTACTTAAGTGAAATGCTTAGATTAAAAACCTAGAGTGCCACTTGGTTAAAATGTTGGTGACAGATGAAATGTTGCCCATTATTGTAGCGATTGGTGCTTTAGACTACACGTACATTATTAACTCCAGGAACACACATGAGACATAATGCACAATGCCTTCACGCTTGCCAACCCTCATTCCTCTTATACCTTCTTATACAGCACCATGGTATCCAGTATGACACTACAAAAAGTACCATTCTTTTAGTTTGAGGTATTTAATTAAAACTGCGATTCTACATATTATTTCCACAGTCCAGTAATTTATTTTAAATTGGAGTAATTTCAAATTCCACAAACAAAACTGAAGAACAGCAATATTTTGTTTGAATTCTCTCTTCTGTACACTCAGTGATCTAAAACACCACAATATCCAACATACACAAACCTCAGGGGAAGGGTTAGTAAATACACACAAGATTGGAATCATGGTGCTCTTTGTTCCTGAATGGAATGGTCCCACAGAAAAAGCACAGGATACAGCACAACGTAAGGGCACCTGTTACATATGAAGTGAGCAAAACACACTAGCATTTTCTATATGCATAATGGGGAAACCTGTATAGGTTAAAGGGCCTTTATGCTCGTTTAAAAAAATCAGGCAAGTTGTCTGTATGCATTTTTCAAATAATTTGGAGAGCACTGCAATCCAATGTAGGATATGCTGATTAGTGTTGTCTTTGTTGGCCTTGACAGTCTTGCATGGTATGGTCACATACCAGTCTTTTTGCTTTAGCTTTTCT